CAGCCCTCAGAAGCGAGGGGATTGTGTTAAGCTAGCCTTTACCTAGACAGCAGGTCAGAGATCTTTCTCTCTTGTCTAGGTAGGTACCCCAAATCTCCTTATTTCTCTCCTCAGATGAGAGATCTTTCTCTCCTGTCTAGACTGCAATTTATCCTGCCTTGTTACTAGACTCTACCCTATGGGAGCTATTGAGCTCATTTTCTAGTGCCTCTCCAACAGACAGTGAAGGACTCCACAGAGTCCTTACAGCCAGTGCCTGGATGTTATTACTTTCAAAGAGGAGAGTTTTGAAGATGCTTGTGCAACCTCCTTGGAGTCTCTTATTTCAAGTTTGCAAGATGCTGCAGGATACCCAAGCAAGGAGAAAAGAACAAAATAAAGGATTTTAAATATCATGATTTGAAGCCTGACATTAAGGAAAGTGACAACTGGAGGCAGGACCTACTATTGCCAAAGCTCTTTTGAAGCCCCTTTCAGTCTAAAACCAACACCACAATCAAGAGTACAAGCAGCTCACATGAGAGCCTTTGCCACAAGGCTTCTGAACAAAAAAGAAAAGAAAGCAGTTTTTTCAACCAAGAATCAGGTTCTAAGGGGTGTAAAGTGAATTCTGGGTGGGCTCTAGATTGTGATGGGAAGTCATCCACTACATTATAATTCCCCACTGAAAATCATGTTCCACCTGTCAATAAATAAATATCCAGATTGTTTGTCAAGTGTTTACAATATGTCACAGGTTTCTCTATGATAGGAATACCAAACTTACCCAATTCCCCCCCTTGCCTGAGGCTTCTGCCAGAGGGACTTATGACTTATCAGGAATTCTCCCGTGAGGGACTACTCAGTTTTGTGGTGTTCAACTTTGAACCTCCACAACACGCTCTAAATAACACCTACCCTTCTAAGTTTTCAGTATATTATTGGCCCCCTTGTTTGCTTTCTTCTGATACAATTTGAAGCCACATCTCCCATGTCTTCATTATTTTTCTAAAAGTTTGATTTTCTCAAATTTCTTGAAAATGTGACAGGATGATAAGATAATTGTCTGTGCGCACTCACCAAAAAATTTGGAATTCAATACTGTGTTTCTCGAAAACCTTGGACCAATTTCGACTCGGCTTTGATTTGAGAAATCCCATATTTTGATTTTGTCCTTTGGGTTTTGTCTTGACACCTGTCAGATAACACCCAGGGTTAAAACGACCTCCGGAGCCAACCTGCTCCACTCTCTTGGAGTAGAGTTAACGAAAAACCGAGTTCATATTCTGAACCGGAGCGATTTAGGACCGTACTCAGCCAATACCAACGTCATCTATTTACTATGCTTTCTTTCAAATGGAACAATGAAAGTTTCTCTCATGCAGAAAATAAGTTGATTGTTAGATCTGAGAAGTGGTCTTTCATCAATCTGTAGATTCAATTGGCTATAATGTCCATGATAGCCAACCAAACTGAAGTCAACGCCTGATTTTTTTTTTGCATGTAAATGGTATCATGCTACGTTATAATTGTAGAAAAGAATTTATTGAGGCGCTTTCTAGGCTGAAGGAAAAGTCTATTACTTTGACTGCGATTCTGATTGGGGTTGCTATGCATAGGCCGAGAAGTCGGTAAACGGTCGTTTGTTCATTTCAAAGTACTCCCCGCCGTATACACTTTTCAAGTCTTGCAAACTCCTCAACTTGTCCACCGTACCTTTGGAACCTGGAGCAATGTTCGATAATATCAACTTGAGTGAAACTGCCACGCTTTCAGGGTCAACAGCCACTCACGAGTCTTCATCAGGCTCTGCCACCTTAACTAACCCATCTTCCACATCCTTGGAATCTGTCAGGATGGAAACGATGGGAATTGCAGGCTCGTTAGATAGCTCCGGTGAGGAAGCGTCTTGATTCCAAATGGGAGACGCGGCATTGGTGCTCGAAAAACCCGCGGTTCCTCGTTGATCTGGTTGTGCCGATTGTGCGGATGCTTCAGATGTATCGAGTCTTGTGAGAGACGTAAGGATGATCGGCGCCGACGTATTTCGGGTCTCAGAACTCCTCAAACGTTTTGATCGCTGTATATTCCGCTCTCCAAGGAAGTCTTCGTATGACTGATTCAAGTTGAACTGACGGAGATAAGTCCAAGCCGCCTTGTAACATGATCCAAGGGCAGCAGGCGTGATCGCCAACTGGTTTCCTAAAAAAACTGTGGAGTATGTGGTCGGAGAAAGGGCAACTGACTGATAGACAGGAACACCAATTATTGATGATAACAAATCAATCATCACGCGACTCCCTGATGCTTGGCCTATGGCAACGATACGCTTGGGAAGAACAGAATGATCATAAGGGTTGAAACCAAGCAAGCTATAGGCGGGTGCTAGATATTCATTCGTATTCTCTAGATGCCTGAGCCCCTGGCTGATACGAGAAAGTTGGAGGCGCATTGTGAGAACTGCGGAAGATGGATATCATTGATGAATACATGTTGGGCTGTCAAAAATCGGCAAAGCCGTGAAGGGAGAGACTCACACTGAGATTCTAATAAAGAGCGTGGGTTAACCCGTTGATCCTTGAATTCCTTGATGCGCTGACCTGCTTCAAATCTCGAAATACCCTGCCAGCTTCCAAGTTCCCCATGGGGCCAGAAAAAGGTGTAGAGCTTGTCGTCAAGACTGCATGTGCTCCCAGTTAGCAATGAAGATGCCACGAAGGACTCATACACTGTCATCTGCACGCACCCAATTGTTCCACCCTCTGAAATCAAAGTGACTAGTGTATCAAAAGTATGCCAAGACCCATTACAATATGAATCTCGAAGAAAATGTCGCGCCAAATCCGCATCTTTATATCTGAGGAGCCGCATGAGATTTGCATCCAGTGTGGAAATTTATGGCGTGGGTAGAGGGAAAGAGGCTTACTCTAGGAGTGCCATGAAAGGCATGTTACTTGAAGGATTTGATGGAGATTTCACTGGGCTAGGAAGGATTTGTCGAGTTGAATCCGGTAGGTAATGTGACAGGGGCAAAAGAACGGAGTCCGAGTCACAGTCACCCAAGCAAATCATCACATCTCGTGGCTTAAGCGGCTGACTCAGAAATGTAGCTTGGTGGTGGCCTAGAAAGCCGACAATCTGACAATCTACGGGTCAAGATATTAGCTTTACATTGCATCCAACACGTCTCAGCCATAAACTTGCAACTCGCCTGCGGAAAATCCGTATCGGCGAACAAAATAGCTGGCAATGGATCCCAGCTGTGAAAAGTGCGCATTCAATCAAAAAATGGTAATAATGAACTTCTTTTAAAACGATCTAACAACTGACCGCTACTGAATTATCAAAGTAAGGTTCTCCTAATTTTTGAACCAGTTTCTTAGCTTCATTTGACATCCCGGATAGTGATGAATCCTTCCCCATGACACAATTAAGAACCAGTGGATCCCAGCGATGTTCAGTCATGTTCCACAAGCTGTCCAATATACAAATATTAATGAGCTTCACTTATTACCAACGATGGGAAAGTAGAGTCTTTAGTCAAATCGATGAATTAAGCACCTCATGCTTGCAGCATCACTTTCACTTAATGGTGCAATACTAACTTCCGAAAAGAAAAAAGGACATATTAACACGAGGTTATATCAGCGATACGGACACAAGTTAAGTCTGGCTGAGAGTCTGGAAAAAGAACTCGGACTTACCTGCCCAGCAACAAGGAAGTCAAGAAAGATGATGCTGATGATATACGATCTGTGGCTTCCAAGATGTTTGGGCGTGTTTGTTGAACTTTCATTATCTGGATACCTATGAGAAGGAAGGTTGAACGGTCGCTGCAGGTTTAGACAAAATTTGCATGAAATTGTAGATCAAGCAGAAATTACGAACTGACCTGTAAAGCGGCAGAATGCCCGGACACCGGATCTGCGTGCTGTCTCCTCTGAACCACCAACCAGCCACTCAAGAGATTGTGCCTGCGCATCTGTGGACATATCGTAGAAATTGGGAGGTTCGGGCAGGGTCCATGTCTGCTCTGGCGACAATTGTTCATGTAGAGGCTTGTTAGGGGCTAGCCTAGAGAGAAGTGTTGATGCTGCTTTTGACCACCATACAGAACTATGTTGCTGTTTGAAAGGGTATTATTTATTGTCACAAAACCATTTGACAGATAAGAATCAATTGACTTACCTGAGCTGATCCCCCGATGCACTTGACGCGTTTGAGTTCAACTTGCGAAGACACTTTTTGTAGTAAAATATCAAGCGCTTTAACGTGTAAGTGAGTGGGAGAGGTCGATACTTCGCCGTCCGTGTGGCAGCCATTCTGAGTTCTGTTGCATATGGAGACCAACACCCGTAGAATGCGAGGACATTGACACTTCAACACGTTAACATCAGGCTACCAGTGGGCCAATACAAGGAAGGCAGAGAACACGACATATAGCTCGAGAAACTCACCCATACTCTGGAAGGTCAGTATCAAATTTGACGCATTCGCCAAATATAACATCAAGAGATTCATCTACGACGATCAATCCCATTTTCTCCGTGGATAAATCAAGAGAGAGAAAATAAGGTTTCTGATGGGCTTGATTAGGATCACGGGATGCTGAAGACGCGGCACTTTGGGTTTTATCCGTTCCCGAAGCCATTGGATGAGGAACCATTGATGGAATGCTAGATTGTTTGGTAATGACTTCTATTATTCGCGCAGATCCCACTTAGTCCCTTCACCAAATCACAAAATACAAGGCGGTTTCGTTGGTATCAACGCAGCAATTCGCCAGGGTTTCAGGCAGATGTGGAGGTAAGATGAATAATCTGTTAGACGTCCGAGCTTCAATGAAAAAAGCTTGGAATATGGGCAGCCCTGGTTGTACTTCTTTCCGATCGTTGGTTTGGAAAATTTGACAGGTATCTTCACAGAATACGGTAGGGGGAATTCAAAACTCGCCCAGAAAACGACTGCACTAATGTTGATTAGATGGGCCTTGTACCTGGTTGAGGAATACTGGCCTTTCAGGCTCTTGTATGGATCTTTGTCGCAGCCTCTGATACCAAAAGGAATGTTGTGGGACGTCGATAACAGATTTTTAACACCTGGGTTGCGCCCAAAACTAGAGAATTCCTATCCAGGCTGACTTCCACGAAACTGATTTTGTGATTACCAAAAACTGTGTAGGGACTGGCAGAAGAAAGGGTATAGGGTTGATTGAGAGTTAGTTTCGAATAAGGCTCATTTTCGCCCTAGACACCTACTATGCCTTCATCTGCTGGGGCTGAGGAACTAGGCTTACAAATGCTGGGGACTTGCTGCAGGAAAATTCTTGTATGATCGGGGATGCTGGTGAGGTTCGAAATCGAAGGTATGACGGAACTGTTGATCTGGTGGTGATATCTAGCGCTGCTCCCGAGGGGAGATGCAGTTTACAAGCGAGGGCTGCTTTGAGCCGGTTCAAACTTTATTCGGTACGGAGGCTAGAGAGACCCAAACGATACTTTTTTGGAAGCGGTGACCGCCACGTTTCTCGGAATGAGGGAGATGGGGCGCTGAGACGTGTTACGAGGTGGTGGTGGCGGAGAGGTCAGTGAGGTCAGTATGGCGCCAAAAAGCCTCTTTTACATATAACGCAACGTGAAGAACCATGGAATAGCCAGAATAGAAGTCGCTGATGGAAATTAGAAATCGCCCACCTGAAGACAGACTCGGGATCCCTAGGTCCTTTTGAAGTTTTTTTGAACTCGATCAGCCGTCGGGCGGTCATTGTTGCGTGATCATTAGAACGTGAGAGATGAACCTGACCACCTCATTAATTTGTAATTATTAAACCTCATTCACGATGCAACATCAAGACTCTCAAAAGAATTTCATGATGAAGCCTTTACATGGTCCTTCAGTCCCGAAATACATTTTTCTGCCTCTCCGCGTTGTCGCGTCCTTTCTCTGGGCCCGCAAAGACACCTTGAACGTCTGGGCTGTCACGAGGAAAGACAGAGCCTCGCTCACTATTCACTTGTTGAGTTGCGTACTGGAGACTGGATGTAAAAGTGCTCGTATGGGCATCTCTGGACATGCGAGCAGCAAAGCGATTCCTTTGTATGCAACCCTGAGTTTATGTCTTACAATTTTAACCAAATCTATTACACTCCTAGGATCCCACACATATCGTATTTCTCCTATCGTGTACTCATGAAGTACTGGTGGGACCCTCGCAGTTTGTGATTTAGACCCGAAAAGTCTAGATTTTCGCAGGGAAATCTAGCTTTTGCGGCTCTAAATGGAAACTGGGAGACCCGCAGATGTTGACGGGAAGTGGAGGACTTCCCGTCGGATCTGGGACCCTCGCAGATGTTGATTTAGACCCGAAAAGTCTAGAATTTCGCTGGGAAATCTAGCTTTCGAGGCCTCTAAATCACTTCTGGGAGACCCGCAGATGTGACGGGAAGTCCTCCAGTCGTCCACTATATTACCATTTGGTAGCAAACATGCTGTATCATGGTATCTTGAGCTGTCTGAAAGGCCGCAGTGCCCCACGAGTCGCGCTGGAGGGTGGTAGACTCATTCCGGTGTTGATCTTGTGTATGGGGTCGCGGTAGCACCAATGTCAGGTGGTTTATCTGGAAATTGAACAGATTGTTACCACTTGACAGTAGTTTCCTTTTGACGAGCCCCGGTTGTGTTGTCGTTTAAGCGCCTGCTTGTGTTACACTGCGGCAGTTTTTAGGGGGCGTCATTGGGTAGCAAAACCACCCTTTTCAGATTGAAATCATACAAAATCATTTCAATTTCGGAGAGCTGCCGTAAAAATACAAAAGAGGCCCGAATGATACATTTATGTTGACACTTGGAGGGCGCGGCATGCACAATTCCCTGATTTATACAACAATCAAGCTAGTGTCGGCTTATCAAGTTCGTTGGAAGCCCAAGTTGAATAGTATAAAACACAACTGATAATATCGTTTACAGGAGTGTTAAAGTTAAAGCTGGTAAAAGAAGTTCATTTTTTTCGGGTTTTGTTTGATGATTTTCAATCGAAAGCCCAAGATGATGAAAAAAGACAAGGGAAGAAAAACCGGACTTGTTAGTGACATCGCTTGATGCCGCTCTGCTAATGCTAAGAGCTTGCCTCGAACCGAAAGTTCAGAAAAAAGATAAAGGCGAAGTTGGACCTGTATCATTTTTAAAGTAAAGTTAACATCCATGCGCACTGCATCGTTAAACATATAGATGGGTAGGTCAGAAAAGAGGATTTTGGAAACAGACTTGAAGTTTCCACCTCAGGCAAAAGAACTGACTGTCATTCCATGAAGGCGACCGCGGTCCATGGGACCAATTTGAGCAAACGCGGCAGGAGAGAAATCCAAATCGTGCAGAGCGCACCCAGTACAGCGATCAACCAGTTCAACCACCACGGATTTACCTTGATAAGTGGCCTTTACTTTTCTACCGCAAATGCTGTAATGTGAAAAAATGATGAGTTTCCAGAAGTTCGAAAAACATGACTGACGAGGAACTTACGGGTTCAAGTTGGGGTTGGCAGTGGCACCAGGAAAGCTATCAAACAAAAGGTGCGAGGCGGCGGCAATCATGGAGTTGTCATTGCTGACAATTCCGCAGGCGCCCATACCGGTCCCGTAATCTACATGAACAGTCAATTTCATCAATAATTGGACAACTTGACCGAAAAAGAAAGAAAATAAACCTACAAGTAGCATCACCGGACTTCGGGCCTGAATCTTTTCGCGAGTCTTCGATTTTGTGAACCGAAGGAGTCGACGGAACTTCGATTTTGGGAACATAAGGGGTCGATGGAACTTCAATCTTGGGAACATGAGGGGTCGATGGAACTTCGATTTTGGGGATAGAGACTGTTGGCGGGATGTTGTTTTCAGGGATGGAGACGGCTTTGACACTTCCAAGCTTAAGGCTCGCGTCGGTCTTCAAACTGAATTTCTGATTTTTCAGTTTTCGGTGGTAAGATCGGCAGTACCTGGACTTGATGCCTCTCGAGCACTTTTTCCAGCGCGGCCTCACAACCAATGAAGCCGTGTCATTGGTGGTAACGGATGAGGCGCCTGACCTTCTTTCTTTACGGAAAATCGTAGAGTGCGATGCCAAATTTTCCATAGATCGTCCGTCCAATTGGGCAGGGAACTCAGTAGTCGGAGATGTAATCGGAGAAGTTGAAGCAGGAATGAAGTTTTGGAAGTCCGCTGCGTGGCCATAGTGGGCCGATATTGAGAATGTGAAGACTAAACAGCCTAACGTAGACATTCGGGTGCTGTGCATCTTGTCTTGATGAATGAAGGATTGGAAGGAACTTGAACGAAAAGGAAGGGAAAAGAACACTTAGTCCAGAGTGTTCAAGATTTTAGGAAAACGGTGAGGATGGAGAATGAACTGAGATTGTATCTCTGATCAAGGCAATCCAACAAGAATACAAATCAATTGTATGAGGAAGCAATGAGATAAAAGAGCGGGGTGCTTTAGTCAAAAGTAGTGTGGTAAATGGCTGTTGGTGCTATGAAGGGCAATATGTGTGCCTAGCTAGGATTTGTTTTTGTGTGTGATTGTAGACAAATTTGATGGCTTGTGGTAGGTTGAGGAATGTGGATCGCGGCGGACTTGGCGGAGGTGTGAGAGCAGGGGTTTTTAAGTCACAGATCAAGTCGTATGCGCAAGTTTTACGAAGGATTCACCCAGCAAAACTGATTACACTGATCAAGAGAGAATTTAAAAAGAAGGGTCCCGTTGAGAGACACGCGTACTCACTGAAGCGATTGATAATTCTAAGCTACCGAGGATGACGTGAATGCGTGGCAAGAATTTCTCCTGGTGATTTTCTAAAGTTTGATGGCCTGGGGTATAAAAATGTAAAATCCAAACGAGTTGGGAGGATCGTCGACTTGGTTAAGCTTTGGGGCAAAATGGGGTTATTTCTGATCAGCTTTTGGAAAGGAAGCGCATAAGAGATGGACAAACGCGCACCGAAAGTTGCTAAGAGTTGCAGGGTAGCCTGGAGCCGTAGCAGATTGGAGTGGTGTGAAAAAGAGGGACACGGGGAGATACAAACAGCGGCGAATAGGGGAGCATCTTATAGCAAACAGGATGGCGAATGCCACTGATGCACCGCGGATGCAGAGAGCAAAGTTCAGGCCAGATTGATTACTCAGTACGAAGGCTGGATAGAATAGGGGGACTCAGTCTGAACTATCTACATCATTTAATTCGAATCATTTTGCCTTGGAATCACCGTCTGGGCTGGTTTGGAGAAGTGAAAAGCATCCATGCGCATGTAGCTGGGCCGTCTGGGTGCTTTCATTGTTAAACCAGCCCTTTGCCCGCAACAACATTGCGGCCCAGGATGCCAACGCGCCTGCAGAAACCCTGGTCTCACTTGGACCATTGTCAGCCCATTGATCCCTTTCGGCTGACTAACCCGGTCTCAACCGACACGCTTGGAGGATTATATTCTGTAGAACCGGGTATGGTTGATTGATTGATGATTGACTTTGAAAACCACGATGTTACCGAAAGCCATAGAGCAGCGAAAATCTTGTACTTCCCTAGGCTCAGTGAGAGTTGGTTACCTCACTAACCTCATCAGCAGAAAAACATGGTTAATCAGATCTTACGAATCAACAAACCCGGTCTACAGATATCGATGAGGCACAAGTCCGCCGACAGGCCTCCCAGGCTCCAAACGGGTGGGGTTCCTAATATGCTGGAACTTCATCTGTGGGTTGGCTGTCGGTGACGCGCCTACCCGAATTCAGAAGTGCAGTTAACTGTAGCCGTAGCCTGAAGTCCCCCAATTGGATGAGATTGGATGAGGATCCCATCATGCGGGGACCCGCCGGCGGCATCCCCCCTTTAATTGAGGAGGGGCTTGTTAGAGTTTTCAATTTGAAAACGCGACTTTTGCTCAGCATTAAGCTCTGACGAGCGTGCCCCAGGAAAAACCTGACTTAACACAAGTCCCTTGCTTCAGAGGGCCCTGGTACAGGGCTGGCGCAAAGCGCCCTCGCGCGAAGCGCGACCTCCGAAGGAGGGACTTGAAGGTTACACCTGTTTTTTAGCCTGGGAGCTTTTGCATTTTTGGTGGGAGAAAAATTCCCCTCACTTATCTGTTGCTTTCTCCCCACAAGTTCTTGACGCCTGTGGTATCAAACTCAAGGCCTTAATTTTCTCTTTTTTTTGGTGTCAATCACCTATTTTTCCTCCTTCACGCACTCCTCCCTTCCTCCTTTCAAGTTTTCCTTTTTTGTGTGTTCAACCAGAGTGATGTGTGTGAATTCCCAAAAATTCTGTGCAGACTCAATTGCAATACAGAATTCCATCTTCCATCCACCTCAGCTTCTGGGCAAGGGCAGCACCCTCCTCCAAGTGTAGGTAGGGAGAAAGTGATACTACATTGAACATGAGATGCTCAGCTACAAACTGCCCTTCACCTCGTCGTCTCATGATGAGTGTGCATCTCATAATGTTACTTGATTTGGAATTTGTGTCCAAAAGCCACACATTTTTGGAAGCTCCCAAGGAGGAAAGCCACAATAACTCATAAGCCTCCCATTGGGAATGGGAGATGCTTCGCATCGGGGTGCTCTGCACCCCCAGTCCTGGGAGGCTTAGTTAAGTCAGGGAAAAACGTATGTATGCTGAAAGCTCTACAGTTCGAAACACGAGAGGACCCAGGAGAGCGTGCCAAGAGGTGGGTAATGAAAATGTCAACATGTTTCAAGCCACTTTGGCTCACAACTAGGCATGATCTTCTAAAGCTGAAAACATGGGCACATGTACACTTGCAAGGCAAATCATGGACTGGTTCTAGTCATTACAAGCCATAAGTTGGCAAGAAATGGGAAAGAACTGTTTTAAAAATGTAAGAATCCCACGTTTTTGAGATTGATTTCTGTTACTAACCTCCTCGTGTGCTCTCCTGGGCCCTAACACAAGTTCCCAGCCATACCCTGGGGCCATTCCAAATTTTTGAGGTTGGAAAAAAAAATGGATTGGCCCTTTTGGGGCTTGAAACTGTCATGAACATTGAAGGTGGCTTGAGGTGCACTAAAGGAGTCAAAACCTCCCTGAATGGCTTGGGATCTGACATTTTTCTTGATTTTCTCTTGAATATCCCTCTACTTCTTGTTTAATCATGCACTTGCAGTAAGTATTTGTATCTTATGCATCATGTAATTACATATTATGCAGACATAAGTACATACTATATTGGCCCATGAAGGGGGTGTTCCAAGATTGCAACTTTGAAATTTTCAAAAAGAAATGTGCATGCCTGAGGCTTATGACAGAGGCTTTTGGATTCTACTACTTCTGCTAACTCCCTCTGAATTTGAAGGGGGGTGGTCCGCCAGGGACCTCCTGAAGGAGAGTACTTCTGTAGAGTCTCACAATGCACAGTACAGTAGGTAGACAGTGAAAAGTGGCTGCTTATTTTGGATTCCAGAGCTCTCAAACACAAACTTGAAGTCATGAGACTTGGTCAGGTGGTGCATAATAGCTCCCAAAAAACAAATATGAAACAATAAAAGCAAAAAATAAAGTTTGAAAATTTGTGAAAAATAAAAAATAAACTTGATTTTTTTCAAAAGCTTTGATATTCATTTTGGGGGAGTGGGAGTACTGAGAGAAAGATAGAATGGAACGTGGGAAGAATGATTATAGATGAAAAAAAATCGGAGCCAAAAAAGGTTTGGCCAGGTTGGTGGTCCAGATTGGAGCCTAAACAGTAAATTCTAGTGCTTTTGCTGCAATGTGGGCTGGTGAATGCCCCCA